TAAAGATAAAGATATAGAAGAGGTCTCTATTGGAAACATTTGAGGCCTTCAATCTGTCTCTTTGCAAATCCAAATTTATTGATTAATGTTCCTTCCATGCTATGAAGGCTCCACAGACAAGATCAGAACAGGTACCAATAATCTCACCTTAAGCTCGTAACAGGCAGGCACACTACGTTTGAACATATCAGCAGGGAAGGGCTAAATATCAGGGAGGAAGCCTATCAAGAATCAGGGCATTTAAAGACAGAGATTTCAGTCCAACAAAAGATTACCTTCCTGCCAATAAAATGACTGAGTGTTTAATTGGTAAAGAATTCTGAATGCCTGCTTCTCAACCCCTGTATTCATAACATAACTTAGCACCCTAACTGCACAAGAGTTAAATTGCAAGGCTCTTGGCATGCCAGTATCAGAAGGTGTGTAGGAAGGATTGCAACAAGCACAGGAGAACATTATAAAAGTATTTTTTAACATTTCCTTTGAAGATGGGGGAGGGGAATATAGTTAGTTGCAAATCTGAACAAGGATGTGGCAAGGCTAGCCAGCAGCAAGTTACCAACTGGCAGACAGTTCCCTGAATGTATGCAATCTAATTTCTGTAACCACCTCAAATGGTAAGAATAGCTTAGAACAGTGTTGTCCAAACTTGGCCACTTTAAGATGAATTCCCCCAGCCAGGGGAATTCTGGGAGTTGAAGTCCACTCATCTTAAAGTGGCCAAGTTTGGACAACACTGATTTAGGTTGTCCAAACTTGGCCACTTTAAGATGAGTGGACTTCAACTCCCAGAATTTCCCAGCCAGGGGAATTCTGGGAGTTGAAGTCCACTCATCTTAAAGTGGCCAAGTTTGGACAACACTGGCTTAGAACAATATTGTTTGGACTTCATATTTTAATCAGAACAGTTTGGAAATGAAAACAGTCATTAGTCTTGAAGTATCCTCAGACAAATTTGCAAAGGTTAGCTCATGTTTTCTTCTGAATCTGTATGTTCATTTTCTGAATGGAAAGCTTGATCTGCCAATATAGCCATTGTTTCACTTTTTTAATATCAAAATAAAAAAGTCACCTTAACTTGCAAAATTGATTGACTAGCTGAAATGCAGTTTAAGGGGAAAAAGACTGAAGTGTATATTCCGGACCCCATTTGTTTTAAAATCTATCTGAAAGAATGGAAAATAAGTAATGGGAAAAGATTTGATTTTATTATCTATGATACTAAGGAGCTCAATATACAAAAAGAGATCCCAATTACCGAAAAGAAGGTGCCCATATAAAGATCAGAGAGAATGAATCTTCTCAGTTACAGCCAACTATCCTAAACTATTTTGGAGTGGACAGTCTCATTTACAATATTCCACCCTCCTTTTAATTTTTAATCTATTGCTGTCTTACTTCTCCCTAAATTTTAAGACGTTTCAGAGAAAATCCTTGTTTCACCTTATGTTGAACTGTATTTCAACAATATAATTTGAATTTAAATCCTCTCAATGATTCATTCATAATTTACAGTTTTTCTAATGACTGAAAGTTATGTGAGAATAAAAATTATTTTTATTTTTTTGCATTATTAATTTTTTTTTGCATTATGAAAATTTTTTACATATTCAATTTTCTTGTCAATTGGTTAGAGATCTATATCATAACAGGAAAATATATACTGTACATATCTATACTTTTTAATTGAATATATAAATTCTGTATAGTTTCAATGGACTAAAAGTCATCTGGAACCTAGGATTTAGATATCCTCCATGTCCTTTAAAAGAATTAAATGATATTAGTTAAACAAAAATCTTATAAGCTAAAATATCTTGTGATAAGAAATTAATCTGCAAAATTACTTTGCTAATAATGAAATAAAACAATGGGCATTATCTTGAGTTTTACATTATTTTTATATAAGTAGAAGATGGATCATGGCCACAAAAAAGTAAGTAGAACGAAGTCGAATCCATCAAGACCAAAGTCTTTTAAGTATAGAATGTTAAATTAACAAACAGGAACCAAAAAGATGAAAGAATACAAACAATTCATTTTTTCCAGAAATACTTATCTGCCTTTCTTCTACACTGCATTTTGTTTTCTGTGCATGATACCTAACATGTTATATGTTACATTAAAACTAAACAATGAAAGCAATGAATGTCAGATAAAAACATTAAAATGCAGCAAATTATGGTGCATTTTAACAATCACATATAGCTTTCTCTACTTCTAGAGACACTAAAAGCACTACAAGGGAAAATACACAAATTATGCCTAGGAGTCACAAGTTTAATCTAAACCAGTTACATTTTGTTGGGAATACCTGTCAGTATCTGTGGAAGACTGTTGGATTTCAATCCTTGGATATGCTATTCTTCTACTAGCTATTGGAATTTTGCTGTTTGGTCACAGATACAAGATAACTTGTTAGCACAATGTTAATAACTACTGCTATAAACAGATTTCTACAGTTAACCAACTGTTAAGCTAGAAACAGAATAAGTTAAAATAATACAATATTGTGTAACTTGGCAGAATTCATTTTAAAATAATAGTTACCAACTCAGGCTTATCATGCTGGTTCATATACACAAAATTAATATATACACAATGCATTTATTTTAAAATTTGATGAAATACCAGAACGCATATGTCACAAAAAGATACTCATATATGATTTCTTTCACATACATGACAATACATCAAAATGCACATATTATTACAGCACTTCACTATATCTACAGAAGATTTTATTTCTACTGCCATGTCCATGTGACAAGTCTTAAGCAGTATACTCCGAAATATTTTTAAAAAGCAAGAAATTCCTTCAAAATATGCACCAGAAATTTATGAATTTGAAGCAAATAATAATTACAAAATTACAGAAATATCTCCCTTTTATAGCAACTTTATAGAAAATTAACATAGTCTGTTAAAATCAAGGAATCTAACTACACAGTCAGAAAAATCAAAATCTAGATTTTAAAATTTTTTAAAAACTACATTAATGAACACTTCAACATTTAGCTGACCCTTAAAGAAAAGTTAGATTTCCTAACAAAGAACATCACATCTCTGTAAAACTTTAGTTTTATATTCTTTATGAAATGCTTTATTTACATGAGTATGATATGCAAGACACCTAGAATATCACAGTACATGAGAATCCTATGATGTAGCTCATCATATATGCCAATTCTTTAACAATATAATTCCCTCTATTGTGAATACTGCTTGAATATACTATAATATAATGCAATAGTGTTCACTGCATTCGTGTATAGTGTGTATCATCTACAAAAATTATAATGGAGTGGGAAACTGCCACCTATATAACATCATGATTTCCTTAGCTCAAAAATGTATTTTCTACTATTGTTAGTTTATGCAGAAAGTACATGCAGTCTTGGTAAATAAACACAAATGGCTTTATTTTGTACATCAGTGCCAAAAGAAATGGAGCCAAAATGGGAACCATTTGAAGGCAAGAGAGATATTTCAGCAGGTTTACAGAAATACAAAATGTCTATTAAAAAACTATATAAAACCTGTAGATGCACTCAACTCAATAGAGCCTTTTTTTTCTGGTGCTCTTGAGTCAGTCTTGATTCCTGATGACTGCCTGGACTAGTCCCTGTAGTTATCTTGGCATGCTTCAAAAATATTGTCTAAGTACAGGTAGTCCTCAACTTACGATGGCAATTGGGACCGGGGGTTCATGAGTGGCCAGTGCGGTGCGAGTGCAGAGGGGCTGGGAGTGGGTGCATGGGTAGGGGAGATTTACACTAGCAACTTGTGATCCCTGCCGGCTTCCCCACTGACATTCTGGGGAAGCCAGCAGGGAAGGTTGCAAATGACGATCATGGGATCCCGGGGCACTGGAACCAGTTGTAAATGCGAACCAGCTGCAAGCACCTAGATTATGATCACATGACCATGGGGGTGCTGGTACTGGAGAACTCCAAGGACTGGTTGTAACCACTGTTCGTTCAGTGCCAAGCGGTCACTGAATAAATGGTCGTAGGTCGAGGACTACCTGTACTTCAAAAGTGGTGCAAGCACACTGTCTGTATACTATTCAATAAAGCACCCTGGCTTTTTTCAGGCTGTAGTTATGCAAGGTTTGAAGCACTTCTTCCAAATAACTTTTATGTAATTTTTCAAGTTCCTCTTTCATTCTTTCCTGAGATTAGTTAGGAAAGCCTAATAAAGCAATAGTGAGAAAAGTTCCACAAGTTCCATAAACATCTAATAGGTCTTCTGGGATAATAATTTTAATCTTTTGGAGACAACAGTGCTCCCCTGTTTCCAGTATCATTCCCTGTGGTAGACAAGGCAGTGACAGCTGATAAGGATACTATCCACAGTAAGTCAGTCTAATAATTATGTTGTTGGCATGATTTATGTCTAAAATGTCACTTGGTTTTAAATATCCCTGTTTAGGGTAACTTCATATACATCATAAGTCATAAATATGAGAAATGTATTGATAGATCGGCTCTATTGAAGAATACAAGGGCTGCAGGGGAAGTAAGCTGGGAAGTAAAAAAAATAATTAAAATGCAGCAGCGGCAAGCCATTTGTTGCCATCAGGTGTGTCCATGAAGCTGAGAAAGGCTTGGAAGATTTCTATTGAAACCTTCCTTGGTACCACTTCATGAACTGGTACCAGAGCTTTTTTTTTTGTCAATTTTTTTTAGATTGTAAACTTGTGACAGGATCTTTTTTCCATTGATTTTATCTATGCCTCTAAGATTCTTTTTGGCTCTTATAGAGGAATAAAATGCATCGATAAGCATATTTGCCTAGCAAATCCATTTCTCAAAACATTAAAATATTTTTTTAAATTCCACTAGAAATCTGCAAATCTCTATTAGAGTGGGCTTATAGCCTTCATGGAATTCCTTTTCACTGATATTTTTAAGAAGCATTTCAAAACTATTTTATTTTCTTCAGTATTTATTCAAAAGGTTTTTTATTCATTTCCTGCTTTGTATTATTATTTAAATTTTGATCTTTATTCATTTCCTGCTTTTTATTATTACTGAAATTTTGATTTCAGCATATTCTTATTGGTTCTTTTTTAAACGTGGGAATATTTATGATTTTATAAACTTTTAATATTAATATATAATTTATGTTTTATATCACAGCAGTCTTGAGTAAAATGCAGTTGAAAAGCAACTATCAAATGCTTTAAATTTTAAAACATCTGAAAACAAAAATAAGTTTATAATTCAGCTTTTGGTTCACCTAAACTTTAAGTTAGCTCTAAAACCAATAGGAAGCATATCAATAACAAAAATGTAATCAATACAAACTAGAACTTGGATAAAATAAGGATGACATTGTAATTCTAGCATTCCTATACCATAGTAAATTGCTGTATTACATTTCCTAATAAATTTTAATAATTTTTTTAAAAAGGCTTTTTATAATTCAGTTTTCTTTTTGGTGTAAGATTACCTCTCTATTAAGCAGATCATTTTAATTGCTTAAAATATTAACATTTTAACATTTAATATTGAGCCAACGTTTGGCTGCTGATAGATCCAATTTCAGATACAATAATGAATATATATAACTGGAAATTATCACATAATTTCACTTAAATTAATTCTATAGTTCTGCTAGGCTCATGAGATTGATTCTAGAATAAATATAGGATAGATTATGCATAGTAATTTACTTAAATGCTTTAACCCCTTCCAACAGTAAAATGAATACATCATAATCCTTCAAACAGGTTCAAGCATGATTATGATGTTTCTCTTAAGGAGAAAAACAGGTTTGCTTATCCACAATGATAACATTGATACGCAAGTACAATTAAAATGATATTTTGTTTTTTTTTAATAAAAATAATAATAAAATAAAAAAAAGGTCAACCTTTTTGTAGCCAAGGGCCTAATTTCATTTTGGATGATTAAGGATTTCTTGTGTGTGTGTGTGTGTGTGAGTGTGAGTGTGTGTGTGTGTTTTAATTCTGACATTCTAATTTGGACTTACATTATAGGTTTCATCAGTTTCCTATCTCAAAATGGCAGAAAACTATGTCATTAGTTTTCAGTATCCATAATCAGAGACGACTCCAAGGGCCACAAAAAGGGAACCTGAGGGCTGCATGCATCCCTGGGGATACAGGGTGTCTATCTCTGAAGAATAACTGGATTTTTTTTTTAAGGATAAATACTATTAAAATCTAATGCTCTTAGAATTAGTTTAAAAAGAGAAGAAATGTAAACTGAATAATATAAGTACATATCCTACATGACATAATCATAACACTTTACTCTTTACTTACCTGTAATTTTCAGATGTACCATTGACTATATGATCTGCCCATGAACTTGCACCATTGTAATACCTTTGCAATGCAGTTAAAATAAAGACAAGTTACAAGTATGAAGATATTTTCATAACAACATTTTTCATGAGATGTATTTTTATCTCAGTAATCAGGCAAGGATTTCCAATGTTCTCCATACACCCTTTTCACTGCATCTTGAAATATATTTGGGGAATTAAACCTTTTGAAAAATAAAAGTATTTTACTCTTTACAACTATTATGTTTTGGTCAGAGCATTTAACTGTCTAATACTTAGTCAATTATTTGTTTTATTTATGTCAGTTTTTGATAGAAATATTATATGAAACTTTATTTATGGAACATAGCAGATAGTCCAAAGAACACTCATTTTCTTTTCACTTACAATGTGCACAGCCTAACAATCAACACAATCTTATTTTGCATCTGAATGTGAGTATAGCTGGCACAAGAACACTGCAAAGCAAGGTAAGAGGTTGGAGAAATCTATCATCAATCATGATATTATGCGGCAGGTAATTTATATGATACCTATGACTGGAAATAAAATAAAGCCTTCCCATCAACAGAACAACTGTGGATACAGATTCATATTTATATTTTGCCTAGGTAAATCTGACAGCGACATGCACACTGTTATATATAATAGCAGCAACAAGAATAGTGAAGTTATAAAATAGCCAAATATCCATATACATTATACAATAGTAGTGAAACAGCTAGTACAGATATTATGAGCGGGGGACCCTTTACCTAGCATCCTTAGCCATATGTAAGACCACCCAATGTAATGAATTACATTAGTCTTAGAGATGTCCAAACAGTTCAAATTTAGCCACCTTGAACATGAAATGGACTGTTCAAGTTTCACAGAAGTGTCCCAATCTTACAGAAAATGTTCCATCCCCCCCCAAAATAATAAACATTTCAATATCAGATACGTTCAGAATAGCTTCAAAATACTTCCAAGGTCAAAGCAGCCTCTTTTCAGCTCAAAATGGTTTAAATGCAAAGCATTGTGCACACTTCTGATTAGACTTACTCTTCCTGAAAGTCAAAACGAATGCATGCTCTTCTACCATATCTACTGTATGTTAAACCAAATCAAGACTGCCTAGATTGCCAAGATTCCCATTATCTGTGAAGGGTCTGAAGTTGATAAACTGTGCTCTATAAGCCATGTTTATTACCTCCTTCAAAATTCTGCAGTGAAAATTCTTAAATATATCTATTATTTATATATCTATCTATCTATAAATAAATACCTTTCAAGAGCAGGGGAAATAAACGTGTCATCAATATATGCATTAGGCTCTCTTCCCTCCTTCCTACTCCTCCTGAACATAAAATAAACAGTAAAGATATTTTAGAATGGCCTTACACATTTCTGTGCTGTGTGATAATGTCCAGCAAATATCAAGCAACTTTTAGTAGAATACAGTGTAAAAATAACATGTGTGCTGAAAACAGCCATTTTCCAAATAATTCCATGTTCAGATAAGACACATCCCTATGCTGACCTTACATTCAACAACTATGTCTGAACTAACATGTTGTTTGTCCATTGCCATTGATGAACACCTCAACACCATTAGTCATGTGTAGACACTACAGTTGTGGCACTGAACTAACATAAGCAATGAATGGCAAGACTTTCAGCCCATAAATTGAGTCATATGAGCTGGTCTATTATTACATGAGTTTCTCATTGTTGGCAGCCAATATTGTAGTGTATGGAGTGGAAAACACACAATGTAATGAAATCAGGACATGAGGTAAATATGAACACTTACCTCTGAGTAGCTCTCTGTACAGTTTGTCAGATGGTATCTGCACCAGGTCAGGCCAATTTTTGTAAACGTTTAAAGGTTTGGGAAAATTAAATATTCATTCCCAACAATTCAAATAATTTGTTCTGGTTCTAAGCATCTCACTAAATGTTTAGCTTAGTTCCTTTTTATGCTTAACTATTATGTCAGTCACCCTTGAGGAGCTATGAGAGGGGGTAGGATGAATGAAGCACTGAAATGCTACTGTACATAATATTGAACATTACTGATTTGGGGAAAAAAATCCATAACATCCCTAATAAAATAATACAATTAACCAAAACAGAATCTGTTATAGCACAAAGGGGAGTGTGGATACCTTTCTCAAAATATTCTGTGAATTAAAAGAAGTATACAAATAAGCATGAATATGGGAATTATGGGTAATAGATATGACAATGGCCAGGAGGATCTTCATTCAGTATAAACTGAGTGTTGCCTAAGCTGCATCCTTACTTGGGGAGAAAAATGTGGCAACAATAATTTATAATTTAATTATTCTCATTTAGATTACAGAAATCACCCTGTATGGAACTGGCCTTGAAAAATATTCAGTATTTAAAATACTTAAAATATTCAGCAAATACTCCAACTAGACTTTCATCTGGGGTACCCTTTTAGGCCATGTTACTATCATTTGCAGAACAATTTAAATGCTTTGTTTGTTTCTGAACAAATCCAAGGTGCTGATTTAGTTGTATAAAATCTTAAAGACATTAGACCCAGGGTATCTAAAAGGCTGTCTTCTTCTATTGAATTTGTACATAATTTCTGATCAATACTGGAATTACAATTTCCACCAACCAGAGAAATTAGATTTTTTTATATATGTGAATTCTATTTTAAGCTTACATTAGATTTTTATTTCTCATATCAAAATGGCAAGAATCCATTACCCAATGGTATAATTGAAAGTTTGGGGCTGCAAAGAAGAAATCCAAGGGCTGCAGAACACTCATTCCTGTTCTAAACCTACAATATATAGTTTCAGTTGGCTTTCTGAAGGCCACCAGGGTCAGTGCTAGCCATATCTTGAGAAGGATCATTCCAGAGATCAGGTGCTGCAACAGAAAAAGCACTCTTCCTGGTCTCATCAGATGACATGGAATGTGTCCACCTAGATTAGAGTGTGTGGGACAGGCAGATATCATTTGGGAGAAGTGGTCTCACAAATAATCCAGTCCTGCCCCATGCAGGGCTTTATAGCTGATAACTAGCATCTTGAATTGCACCCAGAAGCCAAAAGGAAGCCAGTACAGCTCGCAAAGTAGTAATGTTACATGAGCATATAGGGATGCACCCATAACTACCTGCAGTGCTGCATTCTAGGCCTACTGTAGCTTCTGGATGGTTTTCAACAATAGCCCCATGTAGACCATGTTGCAGTAGTCCAGCTGGGAAATGACTAGGACATGAGTGACAGCAATGAAGAACGTCTGCTGATCCAGGAACAGGTGCAACTTACACACAAAATAATATTGTCCTGGCTACAGCTGCCACCTGGGCCTGCAGATTGTATGCTGTCTGAGTGGGAGAGTACAACCCCATCTAGAACCAAAGATGGAAAATCTCCAGTTCCCAGATCAGGGGAATCCAAAAGCCAAAGCCACTCAGTCTGGCAGGATATAGCTGAAGCCTGCCCTTCTTCATCCAGACCCCCACAGCCTGGAGACAGAAACTCGCAACTGTGATTCAAAAGACTCTGCAAATTACCAAAAACACTGTTATGCAAATAATCACATATGGGGACTTGTTTGTGAAGCTGGCTCAAAGGATAAGCTGGGAGTGTACTCCTATATTACCCTCCATGCTGCATACCATCATCCAAGCTCCTGAATATGGGTCAGTGATTAATTTGCCCAGTCATCACATGCTAGGTTTCAAATCATCTTCCCTGGGGAAAGGGTCTGAGATGGCTCATGATTTCATGGCCCCTATGACAATCATGAGCTTCTCCCAGGTTCCAGGGGATGAACTGTCAGAAGAGAAAACTAGAATGTGACTAGTGGAAAACAGTGAATGTGAATATGATATGACATAGGCATGAGCTCTGGTCTGAGTCTACACTGTGGTGAGCAGTGAAATTACAGTATTTCTCTGCACAAATGGCATCCACACAGTGCTATTCAGTCACTTTTAGGCAATAACAAGACACAAAAGCATTCAATGGACCACTGTAACAAATTTGCCACATATCTGGAGGATGAATTCATTCACATTTCACTCAGAGTTGAAAGCTGTACAGTCTGTACAGATGACAAATGTGACTTCTGGATCTTCTGTAATGCTAGTTTTGCCATATGTAGAACTGATCCCTATCACACCTATCTTGAGAAACCAGCTAGGGTGTTGATGGGAGGCTGGTTTCAAGCTTTGGTGGATGCTTCCCTGGGAGAAGAAGTGATGCCATGATTTCTCTGTCACAGCTCCTGCCCTGTGGAACACCCTCCCCACTGAAATCCAGATGCCCTCAACCCTGCTAATCTTCCAGAAGGCCATGAAAACCTGATTTTTCTCTTAGGCATTAGGGCCAGGCTGCTAGGCTGCTAGTAAAGTCCAATATTGGTGTTTGGGGGGCTATGATTCACTTGTAAGATGTCTCAGCTCTTGTATTCTGTTACAATTGCTTTTAATTTTATCTTTCTATTCTGTTTTTGTATTAGTTTTGTATTGCTGTTAGCCACCCAAGTTATTCATTTAACTTGAGCAATCTTATAAAATTTCAAAATAATTAAATGCCAGCTGCCACGAAGGAGCCACTGGTGCACTGCTTTCTTAAGAATTCATCCTTTGACCGTGCTGTTTTAGATAACTATCAGCGTGTCTCCAACATTTCCCTGTATGGTTACAGAGCAGGCCTGCAACCTGGAGCTTCTCCTGGACTCACAGCTCCTGCTGGAAGAACAGGTAAAAGCCATGATCAAAACATTTGCTCAGATCTAACTTGTGTGCCCATTCTGGCCTTTGCTGAGGTGGAGATGTTACTGACCATCACTCATATTCTAATTTGCTCTATACAGGGCTGTCGTTGAAGACTATTAGGAAGCTACAGCTGGTACAAAATGCAGGTCTGCCCTTCTGACTCATGTGACACAACTGTCATGGAAGCTGCATTAGCTGCTTGTAAACTTTTGGGCTCAATGCAAAGTGTTGGCTATGACCTATATAGCCATATATGGTATGGGACATTGTTAGTTCCAAGATGCTTGCTCTAAGTAGATAGAATCTGTCTATCCAGTAAAAGCTAACAGGAAGGTCATGCAATACTGTTTGTTTTGTTTGTTATGCCACCCAACTCCCATCAGTTCTGGTTCACAAATAAAAACATTAAAAATGAGGGGAAAAAATACAATAATGGACAAAATGAAGTGCCCCTTTCTAGGGAGTATCAGCAAACAGGGACCCAGAGATCAGCTTTCTCTGATATAGTTAATTTCCTCTGAAAAAAGTGTACTCTGGAGGCAAGGATGGATCCATCTCTGCTAGTACTTTTTTTTTTGGAGGAGGGGGTAGTTAATATTTAGTTCTCCCATGGAACCTTTGGGGATAGAAGAAGTATGCAAATTAGCTGTACTCAGAATTGCTGAAAAGGTGCCCGGGATTTTTTTTAAAAAATGATACGTTATGTTTTTAAGCCTGTTACTGAGGTGGGAATTGTTAGCTGCATAGACTCTTGGGACTGAAACAGCATAGAGGCCAAAATAAATAAACAATTAAACAAGCAAGCAAATAAATACATGAATAAAATTAACAAAGATGCAAAAAAATCAAAAATGTTAAAGTTCTTTAAAAAATCAAGTTTGTAATGAGCCACATATCCTCTGTGTCTGTTGTAAGAGAATGATCTCTGAACTTGTCTTAATCTTTAATGTTTAATCGTTTTTTTCAAAAATGTTGTGCATTAAAAGCCCCTCCCTTTTTTTTAATGTGGGTGGGTGGGTGGACCTTTGAGTCAAAGTTGATCCTGGCAACTGCCTGGATTAGACCCTTCAGTTTTTTTGGCAAGATTTTCAGAAGTGGTTTGCCACTGCCGTCTCCGTAGAGCTGAGAGAGAATGACTGGCCTAAAGTCCACAAAGCTGACTTTGTGCCTAAGGCAGGTCTAGAACTCACAGTCTCCTGGCTTCTAGCCTAGTATCTTAACCACTACACCAAAGTGACTCTCCAAAAGGCCCCTATCTTTTCTAATTCTGTTCAGCTAGGCTCTTCTGATAATTAGTAGGTTGCTAGTTATTGCCCATTTAAAAAAAGTTGTAGCCTATTAAATTCCATTCTCTACTCTTAGATGCTTCTTCTATTTCACAATTAGTGATCTGAGAAAATGAGAAGGCTCACTGGGCCCAGTATTTGCTGTTCACTTTTGGGAATTCACATTTCATTCCTTCACTTAATTCCATGTCTCATTCAAAATAGCAGTGACAGCTTTCTACACGTCAGTAGATTATTATCTGTTTATGCCTAATGTAGTAAAGTAATGATACTTCTTATCTATTATACCTCTCAAATTCATAGTAAGCACCCTCAGAATAGGTACGGCACATCGTACGCGATCGAAGTAATCTGACTGCATCTTCACAAAAGTTAGGATACATTGAGTGATCCTTGCTGCCAAAACATAAGCAATGAAACATGAAGCTAAAGTAAGAAATACACAAACGAATACTATTTAGGCATGAAGGTATATATTACTGATAGAAGAAAATAAAAATGAGTATGAAAAATATGCTCATTAATTCATGTATTGTAACTGTAGTTACAATGTAGTTGTACATTGTACAATGTAGTTAGTGTGGATCAAGATAAGAATTTAAGCATCAACATGTTTTGAATTGCACATTTAAGAACAAGGGTATTTTGGAGCAGTTCTGGATTTTATGGGAAATAGCTCTAGAGACAGCTATGAGAAACTTCCTTGACTACCCAATTAAATTTGTATGAGGAAAATAACGTTTCCTTAAAATATAATAGATATGCAATCAATATAGCAAGAAGCACCATTAGCCAATAAGTGGTCCTTGAACAACATCATTAAGTTGATTCTGAAATAACATTTCCCATTCATACAGGAGCCGCTTTCCAGTAAGAAGAAAATTTGTACTTCAGCTAAAACTCATTTCTCCCAGATATAATCTATAATATTAATGCTAAATACTGGTAGGGAGAAGGAAAGGCATGGCTTAAGTCTGAAAGACTTCTCCCTTAATTAGCAAGGGCTTCTTGTTAGGGCAGGATCTCCAAACCCTTTGGGCGCATTTTTTAATTGTTGAAATTCTTATAGTCACCTTTTTTAGGCAGTGATATGGGATCTTCTATAATGATACAGGCTGCAAAAAATTAAAACATAAAAAGGCAAAATCTGACAAGATTTGGTCATCACTAATTCCTGAAATTTTAGGCATGCTTGCAAAAGCTTTGGTGATCTCAAATGACAACACCAAAATCTCATAAGATTTAATAAGCTGACAAATTTTAGGCTATTTTTTTAAAAGAAAAATAACATTTGATTGCATTAAATTACAGACACTGTGAGAATAGTCACCAGTTCCTGCATAATATAAAAAAGCACTTAAGGAATTTGAACAAGAAACTTAAGTACAAAGTAGAAAATTTGTAATTTGTAATTATTTTAATGGTTTTAATTATTGAAATTGTTCACTGCCCAGAGCCACTTGGATTGGCAGCTATAGAAATTGCATAAATAAATAAAATAAATAAAATAGGTTTAACCCCACATATTAAACCTTTTATTTGTCTCCACACAAAAACAAGATTCCTTTTTAAAGACATTAACTAGTTGTTGCAGAAGGCAAAAAATCAGCAGCCGGCTGATTCCTGCTATGCTGTTGTTCTTTCGTTCTGTATCCAAATACTATTTTTTAAAATATTAAGGGATTGGGAAGGCACTGACAGCAGCATCTAAGAATATTATAACATTCATGGACAACATGCTATGGACGGCAGATAGGCTTATATATATATATATATATATATATTCAGAATGGTTGTAATTGTACCCAGGATCCTGGGAACAACTACTACTATATTCATAGAATATTTGGAGATTCAAAACATACATAACTGCAGTAATCTTTACTATTTTGTAAGACAGATCAGCATTATTGTCATGATGCAGGTGGGGCTGCAAGGCATAGGGTCACTTGAAAATACTTAGTGAGTTCATAACTGAGATAACAATCCACTCTTCCCCTGGAACACAACCAACACCTTCAGCTAATATACAGCATCCACTTCAATGCTTCAACTTTGTATAACAATTTTTATCTGTTAGCAGTGCTAGGATTATGAATAACAGTTTGGTATGGCGGTTGATAATGGTTTGAAATGATATGAGTGAAAAAGTTATATCAGTATTGAGCAGACTCTAACATCTGTAATTTCAAAGACAAGGCATGATGATTGCTTAAGAACAGGGCAGTAAGTGCAGTTGTATAACATGCTGTCTATTGATTAGACAAAAAGTGAACTTAACAGAGATATTAAACGTAAGCTAGTAATATATTAATATTTGCAAAATGTTTCTATTAAGCCATTCAGTGTCTTAAATAGTATGAAGCAAAGCTATAAGTTCAAGTAAAAGCATGCATTCATACACAGGCACACACAGGAAAGCAGATACCTGGCATCTCTATGATGGTAGTCAATGGACTGAGTGTGATGGGACCAAGGCAGAGTGAGATAATGACTGAAAGCATAGCAGAAACAAAAATAAAATGTAAGACAATAAAATTAAGATAGAGTAACACATATCACAAAATAGGAAGCTGAAGGTCAGATAGCATGGGGACAAAGACACTATAAAATATAATTTTTATACAGAAAAAAAAAATCTTCACAAAAGCAGATCTATGTATTAATGTACTTCTCCTGATGCGATGCTACTACAAGCAATTAATTCCCCTCCCCAGCATATCTGGAATGTGGATATTGTATAACTCAGTTCAAAGTACTGTTACTTCGATTAATGAAGGTGACTGTCCCACAATTAACATATTTAGAAAAGACTGGAGCAATAGGTTGCAGGATATTTACAGATATTTAGGGATACTCCAGAATAAATTCACAGAACTGTTTTGGCATGTCAGATGTTGATGACCTTACAGTGTACTGATCTCACCATAAGCATGATTGATTAAATCATTCATAAAGATTGAAGCAGTCTTTCCTTAAAATTCAGCTGCTTGGCAGGAAAATACATTGAGAGCCAGAAGAAAGAGGGCACATAGAAAAAAGAGGGTACAAAGAATGACTTGCTAAAAAGGAGTCAGATTTAAAACACTAGATTCTGTCTGATAAGCCATAAAGGTATTGCTTCAGATTATTAGAAATTCTTGCTAATTATTATATTTTACTCATTTGACCAATTAATTCTTATAACTTTGGCTATTTTTGTCAATTTGTGTTTTTATTTTAATATTCGTTCTAAAGTAATAAGATGGTAAATTATTTTCTTTGTATCTTTTTAATTCAGGATTACTTGCAGGGATAATGGGGTGTTTTTCCTTCTTTTTTAATAGCTTGTAAATGTTTATGTAATTTTTGCTTTGTATATCCTTAATGTATTCTTTTTATTCTTTCTTTTTTCTTACAGTAAAAGCTTAAGAAATAAAATAAAAAGGTGTCAGTATGGGATTCCTGTATGGCAATACTGTGGCAAGGAGGAAGATCAGTGGCCTGCAGGGCTTCACTTTGCCTGCTGCAGGAGCATCCACTTCCATCCATCTGTAGGTCTCTGTGATTATTTCTGCGTTGGCTGCGGAAGAGCCAACAGCCTTTACTGGCAGCCAATTTCTTTTTTTAACAGAAGGAACATCAATCTCTTTGAAGACCTTCCATGTGGTCAATACTTCCACTTGTGCATAGGTACACATACACAAAATTAAGCCACTGGCTCACCCAGATTGCAGCAACACATCAGCAGCAGCTCATACCACCTGCCTCCTTGTTACGGTCTACTCTGACTCCTCTGGACCAAAGGCTGAACAGCCTGATCTGGCAAACAGTAAGCCGCAGGAGTCACCTGGAGTAAATCAGGGAGCTAGTAAGAATGAGCAGATGACTCAGATAACAAGGGGCCAGATCCTGGCAGAGTGCCTAGTCCCAGAATGAGCCAACTGTTTTGAAGGACAGAGCAACGGTTACTCAAGAACAGAGGTCAACAACACTTCAGTTGAGCTACTGTCAATTCTGGATCTGTGTTCCTATTATTCTGGCTCTTTGCTCTGCTCTTGGCTTGGAGACTCAAACCAGCTGTGAAATTCTCTGGTGTCTGAATTAACAGATAGCTCTTGCTTCTCTGCCACTGCCTCACCCCATTTTACCCAGATCTATGGTCAGGCCCGGCCCAAGAACAATGATGAAACAGTTTAGTCCAGTACAGTTCCTTTATTTGCTTACATCTTATAGACAGAATCTTGCCAAACTAAATCCATACTACAGCAACTAGTGGATATACCCTGTGAGATTCTAGGGAGTGGCTATCCTGAATCCTTTTCTGTTCTCATGCTCCCCCTGCACACTATGCTGCCTCCTCCCCCTCCTAGAATGCACCCCCTCCTTCCTGATAGCCTTGATCTCCCACATCACTCTCTTCCTTGTAGATACATTCCATCATACCTATGTGTTGTTGGGTCCCTGCCAACAACAGATAGGTGTGATGGAATGTATCTACGAGGATACAGTGGTACCTCTACTTACGAACGCGCCTCGACTTACGAACCTGATCCGCGGCCATTTTCAGCCCGTTCCACGTGGTCCGCGGCCATTTTCCGCCC